TATGGCATAGGGAATGCATCAACAGTAATGTAATGGCTGTGTGTAGAGCCAGAGGGAAGATAGAATAATCAGGGAGATCATTTCATAAACTACATAAATGTCTAACCAATGTACTATATACTTGAAAATAATATTAATAATGATAATAATAATAATAAAGATGGTCTTGACCTTAGTGTTTGCAGTGAGGCTAACCAGTTGGATGGCAGAACTTTACTCATTGCCTAGTTCCTTCTGGTTTTCAAGGGAGAGGCCTCACCAGGTGTGTGGTATTACAAGAAGTAGAAATGCCTTTTGTTTTTCTGCTTTATGTGTATTCTTTTCATTGCTTTTGGTGATCCGCATACTGTTATTGGCCTAGAATAATGTCATTGTCGTTGTTTTTCTTTATAAAGTGATGATGAAAGTGGAAAACTGCAAACTGTCTGAAGTGAAATCAAGCCGACAGTAAGTTGTTGTTTTTAATGATGTAATTTTAAGAATAGTAATAATAAGCAGGATCCAGGATTTATGATCTCAGTTCATATTCCTAGGAGGACGTAGGAGGACAGAAGGAAAGCTGCCATATTGGGAGGAGGTAGAAAGGAAGGAGAAGGAGAAAACCTATGCTTTGACTTAAAGGAGAGTTACTCTAAGTATGTTAGTCCACTCACTGTTCTAAAGGGACATTATCGAGTTTGATTATGCCCTTGCAAAAAAGACACAGTGAGTTTATCACCCTTACGTGTCTAGGTTCTGGACTCTAGGGAAATTCTTTTCAACAATGGCATGGCAAGTTGTATTTCCATCTTAAGATCTGAAGGACATAGCTATGCATGAATCACTTCTGAAGTATTGGGAGTTCAGCCAAACCCCAAATTCACTTGTGTTAGTTTTGGGTTTGTTTATACCCAGCTATGCATGTCCGTCGCACCCAATCCAGTAGGGCTAAGTAAACCAATAGCTGCTTTTATACTTGGGCATTTCTGCAGCTTTCATACCTCGGATGGGCCTCACCGGGGTGGCTTTATCCTCTGTCCTACTAGAGTCCTTCTAGGAGCATAAACTGAGAATCATTAAATCCTGGGTCCTGCTAATTATTCCCATTTTTTTTTAAAACAGGGGCCAGTCATTTAATTTATTTAAGCATCATTTTTTCTCACTAAAATATAACTGCTCCATCTTTCCTTAAAAACACAAATGTGCCTTATATTTGCTGCTTTAGTGTTTAAAAGCACTTGCTCGTAAAGTCCTTCATTTTAATTTCAGAGCAGCCTTTCTCCCTTCCCCCAACCAATGTATCATTATTCTCCTATATCCAGGATGTGAAGGGTAGGTGGTCCCAGGATGTATGTTTTGGATACATAAGCTTTAGGGAAATAACTTTACTAGCAAATATTAACTTTAGATATGTAGCTTTTATTTGATCATCTTTAAAGCTGTTCTCAATGAGCAAACACACTTATTATACTTTGACATCAAAAAGTTTTTTTAAACTGCAATGACAATGTGAAGTCAATGATATTATATATCTTCTGATGATGGAATATAATAAAACATATCAAAGAGAAACATTGTCATTTACAAGATAATAAATTTGTATGTCATGCTGTTAAGTGTTGCCTTTTGTAGTAAAACAGAAAGTTCTATGAGAAAGCCTGGATTGAATCCACAAATGAGAGGTTCTGCTGCTGAAGATTCTGATATCAGAATGTTTCAGGGAAATGGTCTGGCATTGTGGAAGAGTTACTGGTTTGGTAGAGAACAACTTGGCTTTCGTATTTGCATGTTAATAAAATAATTTTGGAATCTTAGCCATTTGTTGAATATTAATTTTGAAGTTTTTGTATGGACATTTGTTTTCAATTCTCTTGAGTATATGTTTAGGATTGGAATTGATGGGTCACACAGTAACATTATATTTAAAATTTTGACAAACTGTCAAAGTGTTTTCCAACGTGTCTACACGTTACATGCCCATCAGCGATGTGTAAGGATTCCAACTTCTCCTCATCCTCATTAATACTTATTATTATCTGTCTTTCAAATTATATCCATAATAATGGGCGTGAATTTATATCTCCCATAATCTCTGGCTTTGATTTGCATTTCCCTAATGTCTAATGATATTGAACATCTTTTTATGTGCTTATTGGCCACTTTTGTATCTTTTTGAAGAAATATCTATTGAAATCATTTTTTTATTTTTGATTTGATTATTTTATTTTTTTATGGTTGAGTTGCAGAATTATTTTATTTTATTTTTTTATGGTTGAGCTGCAGAATTCTCTGTTCTGAATTTGGGTCTCTTACCAGTATATGACTTACAAACATTTTCTCCCATTCTTTGCATTGTCTTTTCACTCTTTTGATGGTGTTCTTTGAAGCTCAAAAGTTTTTAAATTTGATGAGGTTGACTTATTTTTTCTTGCTGAATTCGAAGACGGAAAGATTTACTCCCATGTTTTTATCTAGGAGTTTTATAGTGTTAGCCGTTACATTTAGGTCTTTGACACATTGTGACTTAATTTTTGTATATGGCCTGAAGCAGGCATACAACTTGATTCTTTTGCATGTGGATAGTCAGTGTCCCAGTACCGTTTATTGGTGCTATTCAAAATGGTGAAAATTAAGTAGCCATAAATGTAAAATATTATTTATAAACTCCCAATTCCATTCCATTGATCTATATGTTTATCCTTAAGCCAGTACCACAGTCTTAATTATTGTAGCTTTATACTGTTTTGAAAGCGGAATGTGTGAGTCCTCCAGCTGTGTTCTTTTTTAGGATTGTTTAGATAGCAGGGTCCTCTGCAGTTCCACAAAAATTTTGGGATTAGCTTGTCAATTTCTGCAAAAAAATCATCTGGGATTTTTGATAAGGATTGTGTAGAATCTGTAGATTGCTTTTTGGGGAATCTTGCCATCTTGACAATATTCTCTCCCAATCCATGAACATGGGATATCTTTCCATTTATTTCGATCTTCTTTAACTTCTTTCAAAGATGTTTTGTAGTTTTCATTGCACAACTAATGCACTCATTTTGTTAAATTTATTCCTAAGAATTTTGTTCTTTTTGAGTCTGTTGTAAATGGAATTGCTCTTAATTTCATTTTTGGATTGTCGCTAATGTTTAGAAACACAATTTTTTACATAGTATTACTTTATATCTTTTTTATGTTAAAATATTTTGAACATCTAATAGATCTTATACAACATCTTCTATAAGAAGTATCCAGAAAATATACTTCTATAACGTCATTTTAATGACCTCATAATATTTCACCATGTTGACATACCACAATTAATTTAACTACTTTATTACTGGACATTTAGTTTCTTTTAAACTTAAAAAAGGTATAAATAGCTCTGATAAGTACTTGCCTTCAAATCTTTGAAAACTTCCTGAATTATTTCCTGTATATAAATCTTTAAAGTAGAATTGTTAGGGCAAAATATATGCACATTTGAGTTATTTGCTAAGCACTGCCAAAATTGCCTTCCTGAAAGGTTATAAGGTTTTTACTCCTACCAAGGGTGCAATGCTTGATTCTCCAAATTCTCTTCAACTTTGTTTTATTTAAAAAAACATTTTGCTAGTTTGAAAGGTGAAAGATATGTACCATTGCATTTCAATTCCCAGGATGGTAAAACATTTTCTCCCATATGTTTATCAACTTAAAACATTTATTTTCTGTGAATTGTGTTAGGTTTCCTAGCATTGAAAGTTCAGCTTTTCCTAATTGTTTTGTAAAAGCAGTTTATATATTAGTCATTAATCCTATGTCTTTTAATGGTATAAATTTCCTCCCTAATTCATTTTCCATTTTCGTTTAGTTATGCTGCTTTTAGATGTACACATTTTTATTTTTTATGTTGTCAACTCATCAGTCTTTACTGCTTCTCCTTTTGGAGTTTTGCTCCATCCTTCAAAGCTCCAGTGCTACCTCCTCTGGGGCACTTCTGTCCATTACAGCCAACACTATGACTTCATCCTCTAATTGCTTAGAGGGCCTATGTGAGTTCTGTTTTGGTGAGGTGTTCCTGCATTCGAGACCAAACCTCAGCCTCCATGGGAGTATACTTTGCTCTGGTCAGCTTGACAGCTAGAGTATTTCACTCAACTCAGTTTATCTGTAAAATTTAGAATATTGAGCATCTAAAGGAGTTCCTTCAGGGTATCTTTCCAGGCTGGTAAACTACAACTCCCACTATTGGCTCTTTTAAATGTATTCGTTTTGCCACTCCCAATATTCTGTGAGCTCCTTTGATCCTAGACTCAGTATGTGGCTGCAATGCCATAGCTATAGATGACGCAGTGTTTCAGAATTGACGGGACTTGCCTTTTGACAATTAAGACTTGTCTGGGAAATTACAATGTCTTTGATATAAGTTCTGTAGGTTGTGGCACTTTCCTCTCTTGTCTCAACCAAATTTACTGCAAGCCTCCTTCTCCCTTGTCCGAGGTTCAGAGTTGGCTTTTCTGGGTGGTCTGAGACTGTGAGTATCTGGAGAGGCGAAATATCTGATTTTGCCCTGCCAGTGGGAAGGTGGGGCGGTCGCGGCCTCTCGCTGGGGACTCCAGGGTAGGAGCCCGGGAACGCCTTTCGCTTTCCCCGCCCGCGAAGTTTGCAGCGCGCAGCGCACTTGCAGAGAAGCTGTCTGCTGTCCTGAGGCTGGGCGCTGTCAGTTCCTGATCCATCCGTGTCGGCTTCAGCTTCAGATTCTAGAGGAGAGAAGCCGCCCCCACGCCGCAGGCTCCCGGCACGTGGGGCGGGGGCACGGGTCTGCCGCCGTGCACACTTGGGGCTGCGCTCGCGGGTCGCGGGAAGACTGTGCTAT